ACTGCTAACCAGCCATGTTGACGGTTGGCCATCAAGCGGAATGGTGTTGCGGACCTCGCCGGAGCTGCCCAGCTTGCTGAAAATATCTCTACGCCCTGGTCAGCTGGCGGCAGAGGTTAACGTTGCACATTGCTCCACTGATGGACAGTTCAGGAATGACTAACCTGTGGCAATAGCAGCACAGTTAGTGGGGGGTGCTGGGTTTACGGCGGTGAATGAGGAGAGATGGGGGTTTTCCAGTGATGACATGGCCATAGTGGTCCGACCTTTGGCAACAGATGATGAGGTTCTTGGTCTGCCAAACTCAAACCCAAAGTTTGACATTCTCTTACAAGAAGCATTTCCAGCTGATCTACCACTGTCTTCAGATGAGGTGTCTAAATGGGTGTTGACCTCCATTGTTGGGGTTAGTAAATTTCTGAGAGTTTCATTTGCTAGGCATGAGGCGGAGGCTTTGAAGTTATTCTCCTCAATTGAAACATCATGGAAATAGGGGGGGTATAGAAAGACAATCTGCTGGTCCAACAGAAAATGGGGTTCGGGAGTTGTGGAGACTTTAGTGCTCAATAAATTATGATTGACCCACGAGAGGTGAAGACCGACGGGTTAGAAGGGAGCGGGGTGGTCCCCTTTTGTTGCCATGCACCTAAAAATTTTGACTTGGAATGTGAGGGGTCTAAATGATCTAGCTAAACAAACGGTCGTTAAGTCCTTTCTAAGGATTGCTAGGGTGGATGTGGTATGTCTTCAGGAGACTAAAATGGAACTTGTTGAGCCGGCGTTTGTGCAGGAGTTATAGGGTGGGAGGCATGTGGAGTGGGCATTCCAACCAGCTATTGGGATGGCTGGAGGTATTCTCCTGTGTCGGGATAGTAGAGTGGTGGTGAAGGAGAAGGACGAAGTCGGGGGTTTTTCACTATCCTGTTTGTTCAGATGCCTTGAGGATGATTTTCGGTGGGTGTTTACTGGGTTTCTGGTCTAGTTCGGGGTTCAGAAAGGGCCGCCTTCTAAGAGGAGTTGCAGCATGTTGTTTTCAGATGGGGATTGCCATGGTGTGTTAGCGGAGATTTTAATGTCGTAGGGAGCCCAGTGGAAAGGATTGGGGGAAGTCAGGTAGGGAGGTCTATGAGGGATTTTGCTTCTTTTATTGATGAGATAGAGTTAGTAGATTTGCCATTACAGGGGGGAGGCTTTACCTGGTTGGGTGGTCGAGCTAGTTCTCTGCTGGATAGATTCTTAGTGTCTGGGGTTTGGGAGGAGCATTTCTCTCAGATGCTACAGTGCCGTTTGCATCATCCGACTTCTGACCATTGGCTAGTTCTGTTGGACAGCAGAGGAGTCCGAAGTGGTCCCTCGCCTTTTCGGTTTGAGAACATGTGATTACGAGCAGATGGTTTTGCAGAGAACGTGGGTGGCTGGTGGGAGAGTTATAATGTAGCAGGTTCACTCAGCTATAGATTAATTCAAAAATTGAAACTTCTTAAGTCTGATTTGAAGAAGTGGAATTTAGAGGTTTTTGGCCGCTTAGAGGTTCAGAAGACAAATATCTTGTCAGTTTTGTAGGGTTTGGATGCGCAAGAACTGGCTGGAGATCTCACTGAGGAGAATTTGGCAGTTAGGGATGAGGTTCGAAGAGATTATGCGCAGGTAGCTCAGATGGAGGAGATTAGTTTCTAGCAGAAATCTAGATGTTTGTGGTTGAAAGATAGGAACCGTAATACAAAGTTTTTTCATCGTATAGCTAATGCTCATCGGCGAGTGAACCAGATAGGGAGAATGCGGGTGAATGGGGCGATGCTTTCATCAGAAGAGGAGGTCAGGAATGGTATAGTGGCATTCTATCAGCATCTTTTCTGTGATGAGGGCCAGATTTGGAGACCGGGGTTGGATGATGTAACTTTTGATTCTATTCTGAGGAGGATGGGATATTGTTAGAGAGCCCTTTCACTGAGGAGGAAATCTTGGGTGCATTGAGGAGTATGCCTGGAGACAAGGCACCGGGCCCGGATGGTTTCTCAATTGCATTCTTTCAGCAGTGCTAGGAGGTGGTCAAAGGGGAGGTGTTGGATGTGTTTGCACAGTTTTATCAATCTGGGCAATTTGAGAGGAGTATGAATGCCACTTTCATAGTTTTGATTCCCAAGAAGGGGGGGCAGGATATTCGTGACTTTCGGCCTATAAGTCTTTTGGGCAGTGTTTATAAACTATTGGCCAAGGTGTTAGCTAACAGGCTTCGAGCAGTGTTGGAGGGGGTCGTCTCAGAATCTCAAAATGCTTTTGTGGGTGGACGACAGATTTTGGATGCTGTTTTGGAGACAAATGAGTGCGTGGACTCGCAGTTTCAGCAAGGGAAAGGGGGGATTATTTGTAAGCTGGATATTGAGAAGGCTTGTGACAATGTAAATTGGCAGTTTTTGATTTACATGTTGGAGAGGTTGGGTTTTGGAGAACGATGGCGGAGGTGGATACATTCTTGTATTTCCATTATTCGGATGGCTGTCCTCGTTAATGGGACACCGGCGGGTTTCTTCCCCACTTGGAGAGGTTTACGGCAGGGAGACCCTTTGTCCCCATTACTGTTTATTTTGATTATGGAAGCATTGAGTCTACCGTTGTCTAAGGCGGTCCAAGGGAGCTTATTATCGGGCTTTGTGGTGGGGGAGGTGTCTGCTTCTTTGTTGGTTTCTCACCTATTCTATGCAGATGATGCGTTGATTTTTTGCGATGCGGATGCTACTCAGATTAGCAACTTGCATTGTGTTCTGTTATGTTTTGAGGCGGTGTCAAGGTTACGGGTTAATTTGTCAAAATCGAAATTAATCCCTGTGGGTGTGGTGGCTCAATTACCAGTGTTGGCAGCCGTTTTGAGTCGTAAAGTGGCACGGTTGCCAGTTTCTTATTTGAGACTTCCTTTGGGGGCTTCTTTTAAGGAGACTAAAGTGTGGGATGGGTAGTGGACAAAGTTCAATGGCGGTTAGCAGGGTGAAAGCGCCAATACTTGTCAAAAGGAGGGCAGATTACTTTGATCAAGAGCATGTGCTTTCAAGTATTCCGACGTACTTTATGTCTGTGCATGGGATCCTTGTGGAGGTGACTAAGAGGTTGGAAAAATTGCAACGAGATTTTTTGTGGAGTGGGGGTGGGGAGGGTTTTCATTATCATTTGGTGGCTTGGGAGAGGGTTTGTAATTTGAAGGAGGGGGGGTTGGGTGTGTGGAAATTGGAGGCTTTTAATCGGGCTTTATTAGGCAAGTGATTGTGGCGCTTTGTGGGGGAATGGGAGAGGCTATAGAAGAGGGTGGTGGTGGGTAAGTATGGGGAGGCCCAGGGGGGTTGGTGCTCGAAGAGGGTGGTTCAATCTCATGGTCGGGGTTTGTGAAAGGGGATTTGGTTGGGGAGGGAGGTGTTTTGGGAAAGGGTTCGGTTCCAAGTGAGGGTTGAGGATCGAGTTCGCTTTTGGCAAGATCGGTGGTGTGATGGTTTGTCTTTGGCGGTCATGTTCTCGCTCATTTATGCTCTTGCTGTTGATGTGGAGTTAGTTGTTTCGATTAGGGTGAAGCAAGGAGATTCAGTTGTTTGGAATGCTCGTTTACATCGTAATGTTCAGTATTGGGAGCTCGACTACTTGGTGGCTTTTCTAGGCTTCTTGTATGGGTTGCAAAATGAGGGTGATGGGAGGGATTCTTTGGTTTGGGATATCCGGAGGTCCGAAAGTGTTTTCTTCATGTCCTCATTTTATGGGGTGCTTGTAAGGGGTGTTGGTGGTGTGTTTCCTTCGAAATCTATTTGGGCAACGGGTTCTCCTTCCAAGGTTGCTTTCTTTGTATAGACAACTGCTTTGGGTCGTATCCTTACTATTGATAATTTGATTTAGCGTCGACATGTGTTGGTGAATTGGTGTTGTATGTGTTGCAGGAACGCGGAATCGGTGGATCATTTGCTTCTTCATTGCTCGATTGCGTTGAGATTATGGAATTATATTGTTGCTCTGTTTGGCTTAGTGTGGGTGCAATCGAGGTCTCTTTTGGGGGTGTTACAGAGTTGGGGTGGGGCTAGAGTGGGGAAAAGGTGCCGGAAGGCTTGGGTGCTTGCTTCTCATTGTTTGCTTTGGTTAGTCTGGTTAGAACATAATAGGCGAGTGTTTCAGGATGTGTGTCATTCTGTCTCTTGGTTAGAGCGTAGGTTGCTGAGGGTGTTGCATAGTTGGGTTACGGGTACAGTTGATCCGAATGTTTTGGTCTTTGTAGATTTTGTGAAGGATTTGATTAGTTAGTTTCATTTCAGTCCCTTTTTGGGCCGCATCTTTGTATTCTTTGTATCGTTTTGATGCTTTTCAATAAATTTGATTATTTATCAAAAAATAAATAAATAAAGGAGATGAGAGATCTTTTAAGTGTATTCCTCTGCCTTCTCCCTCAGTATATTTTGATATATAGAAAATTCTTCTTTTCTTAGCGATCATTCTAGGCTCAGTTGGTCTAATTATTCCAAGCTCTGGTTATCTATAGTAGCTGTATGTGCTTTCTTCTTCTCCCCTACCTCCTCACAATATACACACCCTCTTTTTCTAGGGGCTTTATGATATTTATACGCAATATTTTGGTGTCAAATTGTTTGTAGCGTCCATTTGGCTAGTCTCATGATCATTGAAATTTGTTTAAGGACAAAGTATGAGCTGAAGCTATTGTTTTTCTATTAAATTGTAATACAGACATATCTCCTTCAAAATTCCATCTGTTTAGAAGGGAGGGAGAAGATGAGGATATTTAGGTCAATTTACAAGTGCCATTAACAGAAGTAAGCAGTGCATTTTAGTCTACAAACCACAGGGGGTTACGTGGTTATTTCCAAACAAGGGGGTCACTGGGGTTATTGCACATGACCCATACCATGGGGACGTAGAGTGAAATTTGCCCCAACTTAAATGCATGGTCTGAATAAAATTCTAGAAGACCAGCAATAAAAAGAAAACAAGCTCAAATTGAAGTCCGTATCACATACTTGAGGTCAATGCCCATAAATTGAGGATTCAGCTGTATCCCAAACCACCTATTGGATGACATAATGTAGCAGCAATATCAAGAAACTGAAGATAAACGCAAAATGTTGATTACACAAAATGGAAGATACATTTTATTTCACAAGCATAGATTTCAACAGAAAGGTGCCAAGGGAACGTAACACTTGTAAAACAAGACAACTACTAAAAAACCTGTAAGCCTCTATAAAGGATCTACATTCTCTACAAACAAGAAGATTGAAAATACAATCAAATGATATTTGTAGCGATAAAGAAAGATCTTAAAAAGATGTTCAAGCCAGAAATTACAGTTAATTTATTACTGTATCTTTTCTTTTATAGGAGTTCATCTATATTTGTGGTTGATAAAGCATGCAACGAAAAGTGTGCAGGAAACATCACATATGTGATATGGGAATTGTCTACATGTTTTATCATCATCAAACCAACAAGTTATTCATGTTGCAGCACTCAGCGATCCTACAAAAACATATGGACTGTTATGATAAGGTTGAGCACATAAAACATTTATGTGTAGCTAGTCACCATGACACACTACTAACAGTTCAAAAATACTTCCACTTCAAAATAGCATGCAACAACAAAATAGCTCCTGCATCCTATTGTAGAAGAGAATTTGATTCTAATTTGAAAAATAAACTTCTGCTTCAACTTCTAGAAACCATCTAATAACTTTACCCAATACATTTTGTAATATGAACCAAAGAAATCCTAATAAGAATCAAACTCAAATGAATTTAACTAGAATTCCTGACACGGTAAGACCGGTTATATGATACAACAATAAATTCATAACCAATTCAAACAGAACTCGTTTCTGTTATTAAGTACCTACAACTTAAGCCAGAATGTAATTAAACAGATCTCGTTTGAGATATATAAGCTTCCAAGAAGCTTAAGGTTGGATTGTTGGAGAAAATGAAACCATGGAATTACAAGATCATGTAATGATTTTGTGGATATTATTGCTAGAGACAGGAGTAGGACTAGGAAAACAGCATCTGTTGGATTAGGTGAACATGCTGCAAGTAAAATTCTTTCTGAATTCCCTTCACTCCAATGGGAGCTTCTATTTATAAAACACCCTTTTTCTCAGTTCACAAAAGTTTGTCGGTTCCGATATCAACTACTGAACAAAAGCCAATTGTTCGAATGTCAACAACTGAACAAAATTCAGATATCAACTACCAAACTGGATTTTCGTTTGGCAATTAATTTCCTAATAGTGAATTTTGTTCAATAGTTGATATCCAAATGAAAAAAAACTAAGAATAAGTTTTGTGGTGTGTAAATATAAGCTCCCCACTCCAATAGAGATCCATAGTCAACTGCGTATGCACACAGCCACAAATCCTTCTCCTAGAAGCCAAGACAAATCTCATGTGGAAAAAAAAAAAACAAACAAACAAACAAACAACAACAACAACAACAACAACTAAGACAGCAACGTCCTTATACAAAATACAAGCACAATCCTATTTTCCTATTCAATTAAAACTACTCATCCTAGAAAAATCATTGGAAGTACCAGTCATGAATTAGGTTTCCTGTGACATGAGGCTTCAGGGATGAACCCTGATCATGTGATTTGCGACCAGCCACATAAAGTACCAATGTCACCTGGAATTTAGAAATAAAAGATAAATTAGAAAAGTGAAATCATATTTAGAATAAAATGGAAAAGTAAACACCCTGTTTAGTTTCAGTTTTGAGAATTCACTTTTCAGAAAATTCTACTTTTTCGTTTGCCGTATTTTATTTTATTTTTCACTAAATTTTTTTAAATATTTTAAGCAATTTTTTTAATTTTTAGACACACTTAACTTAAATACACTTAAAAAGTACAATATTTGTGAAAAAAATCTTTAAAAAATTCATTAAATACTAAAAATATATATTAAAAAATGCAAAAACTCAGTACATTTTTCATATTTTTGTGTATTTATTAATTTTTTAAAATATTTTTTCACAAATATTTTACTATTTAGATACATCTAAGTAAGGTGCATCTAAAAAAGTTATTAAAAAAAATGTTTAAAATTTTAAAAATATTCACTAAAAACAAAAAAATACGAAAAACAAAAAACAAAAAATATGAAAAACAAAAAACTCAATTTCCGAAAAACTAAAACCAAACACACTAAAAAGTATCCTTCTGTTGATAGTGCATTTGTGTGAATCAGAGGTGCAATCAATTACAGTTGTTGCCACATCCAAACAATAGTTATCTCATAGACCTTAAAAAAATGTAATGAGGAAACAATGTTGTCATAAGAACCAAACACCCTCCCCCCCCCTCACCCCAATATTCAAATTTATCCCATAACATATTGTTTTAAGAGATTTAGCCCAATTGGCCTTCCAATTAAATTTCCAATGAAATAAGAGATAAAATCGTCTATAATCTAGATCTCAATCTTCTTAAACTTTAACTTCCATTATAAATGTGTATAAATTGTTTCCTTCCCATTTTGAAGGACAAACTACTCATATTTTTGTCATAAATTTGTCTTAAAATAACTTCCCCATTGATCACCATACCTCCTTTCTCACGGTCATGGCTATATTGAGAAAAACATGTACATTAGCAATTTCATCTTTGCTCACGATGCTTTGTTCCTTGTAGATAGTATTATTATCACCATTTTTTTTTTAAACATTGAAGTTCTACAATATCATCGCATTTTGTATGTAGCTATCAAATAATTCTAGTCTAGTTTGGCCAATACTTGCAAATACTTCAGCCCCTTTATTAAAATTGCATGGTTCCACTTAGTTGACATTTACTATTAGGCCAACAAGCCATTGTTACATTTTGAATAAAGGCTTGTTGCTTAACAATTCATTAAATACTCAAAAAACTTTAATCTCTTTTTTATATTTTACTGTAGTTACTTCTGTGCAATTTTGGTTATCATAAATGTGACTTGTTTGATTTATTTTTCAAATTTAAAAAAAAAATAATTGAAATTAAATTGTCTTAAAAAAGAAAAATAAAAAAATACACAACCTTAAAAAAAATAAATTAAATAAAAATAATCTCCTCTGCTTTCAAAATTGAAGAAAAACCTCAAACATGCTAACACTTAATAAGAGGGACGTTGAAAACAGTGGCACATCCTGATGATGCTAGTTTCTTACAGAGATTAACCATAATATATAATTGAAGCCTTTCAAATAGGCACACACATCAGGTTATTAGTCCACCAATTGAAGTTGCAATGCTTACAAGAATGCTATAATTTTAATATGGGACAGAATTATTCCAAGTAGGGTATAATAGAATTGTGACTCACAAGAAAACTAAGTATAAAAGCCGCTGACAATAGCTCAAGTCCTCTGTCTGCTATTGCCTGCAAATATAATTAATGTTCATGTGTCTTTAGAAAAGAGACCAACTAAAATGAAGTTGTAAGGAAACAAGTCAAGGACCATCTTAATACAATAAATTCATATTCTGGCATGGAAGTTTGTATGAGTAAATCTGAATACGATCAATCAATAAATTTCAATGTAAAACAAATTGAGAAGGAGAGGGAAAAACTCCAAAACATTCACAACAGAAATAAATAAACTATTGCCCTTGAAAATTAGTTTTGATACATGACTTACTAAAAAATATATGTGGAAATATAAATAATAATAAAAAATTAAAACCTGACTCTGTATTTATGCTAAAAAATTTCAAATTGATATAGCACATGTAGAATTTCAACAGAGTCTTTGATCTGGATGTATGGTCAGTCCACCACATTATTCCAATCTTACTCATTTACATTTAGTGTTATGTTGTTAAAATCTAAAAGCATAGGCTACTAATCTTAATATATGTTAAAAGGACAAAAATTCATTCTTATGATGAAGTACTATTTGTGAAGACAAATAGTTCAGTACCCTATGGGCTTGTTTGATTGGGCAAATTATAACATAGGTTGAGATTATTAATCCATAGGACTTGCATTTTATTGTTTGGTTACAAATTTTATTATTCAGATTAAATTCCAAATGGCCATTATATCCAACAGAATTGACAAATTTTTTAATCCTATGACTAAGAACGCAAAACATATCTAGTGCAAAACAAACGTGGACAAGTGAGAATTATGTATCTCACTAATACAGCTGGATAACCAATTCTACACTAATCTCATGGATGGTTGATCCCTCACTATTAATCCTGCGAATCAAACAGGCACTAAATAAAACTAAAAACTGAAAATATATATATATATATATGGATTAAATAAACAGATAGAGAACCTATTTTAGCAAATACATACAGTGGGAGATGTGAAATCCGTCCAAACCCCGATTCCAAGTAAGGCAACCAGCAAAATAAGTGAGATCAAACCTGAAATTCAAATAACCATAAATAATAATAAATAAAGAGAAAAATGTACACAATTCAGAACAACTAACACTTCAGCAGATCACATATATGACAATATACACAGAAAGTGTGAAACATTACCGTTGCAGCGGTATTGGAGACGAGTGCCGTCAGATAAGATTACGCCTGGAACAAGCTTTCCGGGTATAATGGATCCAGCAATTGCCAAATAAGCAAAGAATCCAAGTAGCATAGTAACCTAATTCACCAAAAGGAATTTGATAGAGATAACATTGCAGATACATACATGTGTATACATATATGTGAATCCATAGACAGAGAGAGAGAGAGAGAAGAGTACTCACAGAGGTCGATGAAGGAATTAGGGCGAGGAGAGTAGAGTTCAGATCCATTCTGTGTGTTCTCTCTCTCTCTCAGCTTCTTCGTGTATTTGATGCAGATGTGAAAGTCACTGCTCTCCTCCTCTTGACTCCAGAAGTGTAGTCTACTTTTTTGCCAATTGTTTCTCGGTCTGGCTGCTCAACCCCGCTCCAATTTTTTATTTTTATGATAGCGCTGTGTTTGGACGGGGATTTAATGAAGAAAAATGCTTGGGGCACTAGAAATGGAGTACTAGAAGGATCATTAATGATGCAGCAGTGAACTCCGTCTACTTTCTATGCCTTGTTTTTTTTTTTTTCTTTTTTTTTATCATTCCTAATGCATTAGTGTACGGGAAAGAAATAAACCTTCTTGTATAATCGTGTTGATCAAATTTGTGTTCCTCCGTACGTCGGTGCTTTACCACCTGAAAACACAAACGTGAGCTAGCTGGCGGGTGTGTGCCGGAAACCTCTCCGATGCCTAAGTCAGTAAGCTTGATAAATAGACAAAAGTTCTGTGCATTCAGAAAACAAAGTTGTGTTACCTCTCCAAATGTGATGTTTGTGAAATTTTATAGGTTTTGCGTGGCACAATCCTAGTAGGACTTCTACTCCTCCATGCAGAGTCTTCCTAAGATTCATACTCCTGAAAGATCATGCTTATCCTTCAACACCCCTCACTACTTAAACCAAGTGAGATGGCTTTTACCATGGCCGAATCGAGGTAATCATGGCTATGCTGAGCCGTAGAGTAGGCCGAACCGCCTTTAGTTCGGTTCTCCTTTTCACTACTCCTTATCTCGGTTCCTCATGTACAAAGAATGGTGTGGTTAGACCGAGCTACCGAGTAGCAAGGTTCTGACCGGTCTAACCACAATACGTCATGACCGAGCTAACATTGAGATCGGTCTAACTTTAAAGCGTCTTCAAACCGGCCTAACTCCAAGTCGCTTTCAGACCGGAGTAACTTTACATCTCTTTCGGGCCGGAGTAACTTTACATCTCTCTCGGGCCGGAGTAACTTTACGGCCTTTTTACTCAGCTCTTAATACTGTGGCCCATAACAACTCAGCCCAGCCCACTAGCCAGTTCGGCCCAATTTTCATATAAATTACCCTCTCAATTAGTACTATTAGTGATGTATTTTTTAGTGGTTTAAATCATTGTTGTTTAATGAGAGATTTAGAAAGGGAAAGGAAAAATGTGTATGAAATTAAGTAAAATGTAAATATATTTTATTTATATTTTACTCTTTTTTTTTCTTTTTAAATCTCACCTCAAATTTCTTAACCAAATACAGCGTTATGGTTCAAAATTTTCTACATATTTCACATTTTATGTGAAATTTTTGATCATTTATTTAATTGAAAATTCGTGACTTAATTTTCTATTTTTTTAAGAATACATAATTCTTATCAATTGGTATATTAAAAGATAAAGTAGTATAATTTTAGAAGTGTTTTATTTTTTTAATTTGTATAATAAATAAATAATAGTATTAAAATGACAGCTACAAACATAGTACACAACCGAATTTCAATTGCATCCCTCCTTTGCCGTGGAAATGAATTTTACGAGGCAGTTAGAGCAATTATTGTGATTTCTTTTTTCTTCAAATTATATAAGTATCTCGATTAATTTCTTTTCTTATTTTGTTAAAGGCAAGTTATTCTTATCGAGACTAAGAATTTATAATAATTTTTTTTTTTGTGACTTGATAGCTTTAAAAATTGAGCTCTAAAAAATTGTGTAAGGGGCATACCTGCCAATCATTCAAGATAAACCTCAAACATTTTTTTTTTTTTTATTTATCAAAAAGCACCTAAATACATTATAAATATGATACTAATAAGTTCACTATCATCCATCATCCTTACATTAGGGTTGTTTGTTATAACTTAAAACAGGTTATTATAATTATTTAATGTAATTTTTACTTATAGTTTATTAAATAAAAATAAGGTAAACTATACCGACATTTTTTGATATTTGGATTTAATATATCTTCGAAATTACATTCTCACCCCTGTGATTAATAGTCTCATTTCATAAAACTCCCTATTTATATAAAAAACAACGACTCTTAGTAGAAAAATAGAAAAAATTATATTGAAAAAAAAAAGTAAAGCAAATGAAAGGGAAAAAAAAATTATAGAAAAAGTAAAGCAAAATAAGAAAATAGAGTGTAATAATTCAATATATTTTTGATACCAACGTTAATTTCGTCTAAATAATTACAATGACAAAGGGATTAGTGTAATTTTTAAACCGTCAATGGGTGATATATATTAAACTTAAATCTCAAGAGGTGTAAGTGTGAATTACCCATAAAAATATTTTAAATAAGTAAAAAAAAATGAAAAATTATTGAAAAATCTCAATTTTGGAGAATTTTAGTCCAACAAGTCCTTGTTTTAAAATAATTCACATGGAGTCCTTTTTTTTTTGGTATTATGTTCTACATGATCCCATTCAGTTTTGTGGAATGAATTTTTTGACTTTTATACCCGTTGTTTTTTATGAATGAAAACATATGTGGGGAGGTTTGTTTTGAATCCCATTGATTACGTTGGTTTGGTGTGGACATTATGGAAAGATCATAAATAGGCAGATGTTTAAGGATCGCAAGATTCGTCAATATTTGAATATTGCGGGAGAGAACCGGGGGGAAAGGTGTTAAAAGATTGTATTAGTATTGTATTGAGCCATTTATTTGTGCTGCGCAGTTTGTGGTGCAGCATTTTTTAAATTCATTGATAGTAATGTATTGATTATTTATTCGTGTTGTTTTTGTTTGTAGTTTGGGGATTTGACATTGATATGTGATTCATGATTATCATGTTGCGACGTTTACATCCTACAAACAACCGATTCATTGAATACGATTCAATGGAAAACATGGTAATAGTATACATGTAATGCGGATTTTGATGAACATAAGTTTCATATCTAATTTACATTTTTTTCTATTTTCGTGTAGGAATGGAAGACAATGTAATGATGTTATGTTCATATGAGAATAACAACGCCGCCGTAATGGCTCTATCTGATTCCACATTTAGCAGATTGACTACTCAAGTGTGAGAACGTTTAGTAAATTGACCACTCATTTGTTCTACATAACAAATGTGGGTCATCCAACAAACACTACCAAACTCAAAAAAAAACTACAGTATGTTTTCTAAAATGCGACATATACGCAAATCACAAAAACAAAACTTCCAATAATTAACACTCAACACACAAGGTTAAAAACGAAAACCAACACATAATGGGGCCGCTACGCGTACCAAAATAAATACGAGACTGATCAGATTACAATTACACATTATGAGATTTATGGGTCAATTCCCCTTAAAAAAATTAATTATTTAAAAATTGAAAAAGAAATATTTATGCTTTTTATTATCAATTTTGAACTTCTAATAATATATACCAAATAGGGTTATTCTCACTACCATCACCATAGCTACTATCTCTTTATCTCCACTAACCATCCATTTACTATCACCACTATCATTATTTTTCTACATTCACCTTCACCACCATCAACACAAGTACAAAAGTCATCTTCGCTATCTCTGCCATCATGCGCATCACAATATAAAAAGTTTTAAATTCAAATTTTATTTTATACATATTAACAATTTTTTGCAGTTCAACATTTAAAGTTTTAAACACGATTAATCTTTCAACTTATTGAGAAGATTTTCAATATGCATTTTATTTTCCCCAAAATAAATAAATATCATAATAGGCAAAATTATTTATAAGTCCTATTAGAGAGACTTATACTACATATGATGTTACTAAAAAATTTATGTTCCTATAAGTCCTGTGGGAAGTTTGTTGACACATTTACTCTCAATATTAGTTGATAATATCATAAATAATAGTAAAACCATATATAGGAAATTGAATGTTACCGTAGATCATATCTATATAAACATAACGTAACGTGACACCTACATAAACGTAACGTGACATCTATGATCTATGGTAACATGCAATTTTCTATATAGGAAATTGCATGTTACCATAGATCATATTTATATAAACTTAACGTAATGTGACACCTATGATTTGTTGAACAATCTTTACTGTATTTAAAATGATTAAATTCTATTGTGTACAAAACAACAACTAGAATATTAAGAAATAAAGAAAATGAGAGAATTTATTTGATTACAAATAGAGATGGCAATCTGAAACCGGCCTGACGGTGACCTGACCCCGAATTCAGCGGTTATTCACCGAAAAATATCCCCTATGGACCGGGGATGGTATTCAAAAATTCATTCCCAATGATATCCGGGCCGGAAACAGGGATGTGTGTTTCAGAACCGGACCCGGCCCCGCCCGGCCCCGCATGGTCCCCGAGGTAAAATGACCCTTTGGTCCCTGGATATATATATATATGCATATGCTTGTTTTGTTAGGGTTTGACAGACACTCAATTTCAAAGCCTCTCACACTCACACAACACACGCCGCTCCTCTCTCTCTCTCTCTCGTCTGTCTCTCTCTCTTTCATTTGTCACCGCCGCTCCTCCCTCCGTCACTGGCGATCCTTCCTCCGTCACCGACGATCCTCCCTTCGTCACCACCACGCCTCCCATCTCTGTTTAGGTGTCTCTCTCTCTCTCTCTCTCTCTCTCTCTAGGGATTTCGATCTAGGTTTACATATATGTATATTATATATATATATATATATCTATATATCTGAGTGTTTAGATCTGAGTATAGATCTGTAAAAAATACAATATAGTTCTGTTTTTTTTTTCTGTCTCTAAATTTATTTATTTTATATTGATAATCAGTTGTATTTTTTATGCAGATCTACCTCCAGACCCTGATAATCGGTGCTTGTGAATTATTGATAATCTGTTGATCATTATCTTTCACATCAGGTTTGATCTGTTGATAATCTGTCTATATTATTGATAATCTGTCTATTAAGATGATGATCTTATAATCTGTCTATTAATCTGTCTATAATCTGTCTATTAAAATATACCTCATAATCTGTCTATTTAAATAAAGCCTTTTGAAATAAACATAGACTTTAGAACTTGTTAATTTTAATAGTAATATTAATTATAGATTCCTTCCTGAGGTAAAAGAGGCTATGACTATGAGGAATATTAAAGTAAGAAAAGCTATAGAACCAGATGGAATTGTCATTGAAGTTTGGGAGTGTTTGGGTGATGATGGAACATTTTGGTTGACCAATTTGCTTAATAAGATCTTGAATTCTAAGAAAATGGTTGATGAATGGATAAAAATACATTAGTTCCAACTAATAAGAACAAAGGTGATATTCAAAGTTGCATCAATTTTGTAGTATTAAATTTAGCAGAAGTAGAAATAGACAGGGATGAAAGTAGAGTATAACTTGATGAGCATGAAATACATGAGTGATCTTTTTTTATATTTTGGGTCAATTATTCATAAAGACAGAGAGGTTAAGGAGGACATGAAACAGTTTTTTAAGCTATACTAGTGAAAGCTTCTGAATCCCAACTTGTTTTTAAGGCAAAGATTAATATGTTTGTTTTTCATATTATCATTAATACAACTTGTCTAGTCCACTAAGAAAACTGAATGTCACATTATTTTTCTAATCTGTTAAAATATCCAGTCTCCAACATAAAGATCACAAGTAGTTTATAAACTTCCTTTTGCAATCACCAAAGTCGATTTGGAATTCCTTATTATATCATAAATCTTCTGTAATGCATCTTCTAATTGTTTCAATCATGTTATAATTTTTTTAAAAGATCATGAGTACTTAATTTATTTATATTAATTCAATCCATATTATTTTTATAAAGGTTAAAAATGTCAGATGTTAACTCTGAAGCACCCGTTAACTCTCAAGTACCATTTGAAAGTGACGCGTCACAACATTCATCGCCAGCTACGAACACACCTACGAACTCACCGTCTCCCCTCTCTAATCAACATGTTATTGATTTAGAAGAATCTAATACTACTTGTGGAGGAACTAAAAGAAAACCTAGTATTGTGTGGGAGCATTTTAAAAAACAACAAGTCAATGGGGTGTGGAAGGAAATATGTAATTATTGTAATAAGCATCTTGGAGGTGATTCAAAAAATGGAACTAGGCATTTGCATGATCACCATAAGAGTTGTACTAGGAAAAAAGTGATGGACATGAGGCAAAAAGTGTTAACTAACAACTTTAGTAGAAAGATTTCAAAAATGAATTCTTATATCTTTGATCAAGATCTTGCTAGGAAAGAGTTGTCACATGCCATAATCTTGCATGAATATCCCCTCTCTATCGTAGACCATGTTGGTTTTAAACAATATTCAGCAGCACTTCAACCATTGTTTAAAGTGCCTTCTCGAAATACGATAAAGAGTGATATTTTAAAGATTTATGATTATGAGAGGGTGAAGACATTGAGTTTGGTGGAGCATAATAAAAGTAGGGAAGCAATCACAACTGATATATGGACTGCTAGCAATCAAAAGAAAGGATTCATGGCTGTCACCGCACACTTTATTGATGATTCATGGACATTGCAAAGTCGCATTTTGAGGTATATTTTTGTAAATTTGCAAATCATTTAAAAATTCAATCTTATTCAGTTCAATTTGCATGTTATTAATACTTGTTTATGAATATCATATTTTAGGTTTATTTATGTTTCATGTCCACACACAAAAGACGTTCTTTGTAATACTTTGCTTGAGTGTATGATGGATTGGAATATTGATAGAAAAATCTCGACTGTTACTGTTGATAATTGCTCCACAAATGATGCCATGATTACCATGTTGATGGATAAGTTAAGTAATTCATCGCTTTTGTTGGGTGGTACTTTGTTTCATATGCGTTGCTGTGCGCATATTTTGAATTTGATAGTGAAAGATGGATTGAATGTCATACGAGTTGGTGTGGAGAAAATTCGAGAGAGTGTAGCTTATTGGATAGCAACACCAAAAAGAGTAGAAAAATTTGAAGAAACAGTCAACCAATTGCATATTCCACATACCAAGAAATTAGGACTTGATTCTGCAACTAGGTGGAATTCAACGTACTTGATGCTTCAGACAGCCTTATTGTATAAGGATGTCTTTTATAGGTTGAAAATTAGAGAGCCCCAATATAAGACTGTGCCAACTGAACAAGAATGGGAGTTTGCTAGAGAGATTAGTAGGAGGTTTAAGATTTTTTTTTCTATTACTGAGTTGTTTTCTGGTACAAAGTATCCCACAGCCAATGTTTGTTTCCCAACTTTATGTGAGATTAGGATGACACTGTCTCAAAGGCTCTCTTGTGAAATTGAAGTGATCAGAACAATGGCATCAAAAATGGTGGAAAAATTTGATAAATATTGGTTAGTGATACATGGTGTTATTGGGGTTGCAGTTGTACTTGATCCTAGGTATAAGATGAGTGTATTGGAGTTTTATTTTGAAAAACTTTATGGAGACAGAGCTGAAGATAAAGTTGATAGGGTTCGTCATATTTGTTATGATTTGTTGCAAGAGTATCAGCACCAAGTTGGTATGGAGACTGATGTTGTTGGTGACTCTTCTGCTCATCCAGAAATTGTTACAGAGACCCTTTCAGAATTTGATTTGTTTGTTAGTAGAAAGAGAAGTAAAAAAATGAATAATGTAAGATCAGAGTTGGACCATTATCTAGAAGATGATGTTTTGCCAAGAACTTCAGGTTTTGATGTTTTGAATTGGTGGAAAGCTAGTGGACCAAAATATCCGACCTTACAGGCAATAGCTAGGGACATTTTAGCTATTCCTGTATCCACTGTTGCTTCTGAGTCAGCATTTAGTACTAGTGGAAGGTTGGTGAGTCCACATCGTAGTAGACTTTATCCAAACACATTAGAAGCATTAATGTGTGCACAAAGTTGGTTGTGGGGTGAAGAGATGAAAGGTATTATTTCATCCAATTTACATATTATTATTTCACTTTTTATTATTTATATTAACATGGAATAATTTCACTATTGAATTTATATTCTTTACTTTTTAGGAAATTCAACATTGGAATCGGTGGGCTATGCAACTATATATGATGATGATGAGATCGATTCGGATCAGTCATGTGCCACTTTTGTGTTAGTTATCATCTTTTTTGTTTTAATTAACATTTTTTACATTTTATTATTAATATTAATTATTTGTTTTTTTTTCTTTTGTTATTTAACAGGAATTCAAGTTGAACTCTTCTATTCTAAAAGTTTATTTATTTTTTTTTTGGAAAAACTAAGTTTATGAAATGCTTGTTTGCTCATTAATATTACATGCTTTGCACCTTCGTAGTATCTGTTGTTTTCTATTTTATTACTGAGTGACCTTAGCTGAAGAGCTCGTGTGAGCTGTGGTTAGGCGTTTTAGGGAAAATTGTAGGCAGAAGGGGAAAGGTAAAAAATAGAAATAAAAATATACTATGTTAAATGAAGCTTAGTTTCAAGGTGGGAGTACATGTAATGAAAACAAACATTGCCTAAAAATAGTTTTGCCATAGAAAAGAATTTTAGAATAAAAGAAAAGCAACCCGAGTAGAAATATTAAGGAAATATTGTCCATAAAGGAATTTGAAAAAATAAAAATTGTATGCCTTTAGACGAAGAACTTAGGATTAAAATCAAAATTAGTACTGAACTCATACAAGAATTAGAAGATCAAATATCAAAATATCAGTTTCTTTTATCATTAGCGTTTGGCAGCTCTTTAGAAAATTATAGTTTAAAAATTTCTCAGATAAATAAACAGCTAACTGTAAAACAAGAAGCCTTAAAATTAGCCATACAACAGCTAGAAGACCTTTTAGTATAACTGTAGAATTAATTAGATAATTCTCAACCCAATTTTATTTATTTAAATAAATAAAACAGAATAATAAATTAAACAACTTACTTGATTAATTTCTTTAAATAATTATCTGATCAAGTCCAATGTTTGACACTGTGTCCTTAAGACAGATTCGTTCTCTCCACGGTGCTTTTAGAATTTGGACGTCTATCTCCCAGGATAAAATGATCTACTACAAGCAATAACAACACTACAAATTGTTTGCCTAACGAACACACTAAGTGTTTATACTCTCTCTGACAAGAAAATAATGCAGCAAAATGAAGAGGATGTTTGCAGAATTATGAAGGACAAAAATTAGAGTTACAAAATCCAAATGAGGGCTGTCCTATTTATAGATGTAATGGTGGCTGTAGGTTTTGAATTGAACATGTATGAAACCTGTTGATTTTGAATTCAAACATATTTGAATCTGTTGGATTACAATTCAAACAGATAACAAAAATGGGAAGGGCCCTGTTTGGGTGTACAGTAAATCCGGACCAGTTTAATTCCGGTTTAAAAACGGAAAGGGCCCTGTTTGGATGTACAGTAAAACCAAACTAGTTTAATTTTAAATTCTGGATTTTATTTTACCAAAAATTAAATTAAATTCAAATGTTTTTGGTCCAAAAAGGTTAATATTGGGCCGAACAAGCCCAACCACACACCACACGCCCAAGCCCAGCCCAGTCCGCCCGGACAGCGGCGGCGCGCGCGCGTGTGTGGTTTTTGGGTCCAATGGGTCTAGCCCATTTTGCCCATAACCTCTCCCTCTAAAACACTTGGGTACCCCTTGGGGCAC